CTTTGTCACGAGGGCATTGACTATGTTTTCTTGCCCTGGTGAAGGGAGTTGGACTGGATGGCCTTCAGGCAGCATTTCTCAACCTGGAGGTCGGGACCCTGGGGGTTGCTAGGGGGTGTCAGAAGGGTTGCCAAAGACCACCACAAAACACAGTATTTTCTCTAGGTCATGGGGGTTCTGTGTGGAAAGTTTGGCCCAATTCTCTCATTGGTGGGGTTCAGAATGTTCTTCGATTGTAGATGAACAAGAAATCCCAGTAACTACAACTCCCAAATGTCAAGTCTGTTTTCCCCCAAACTCCATCTGTGTTCATATTTGGGCATATGGAATATTCGTGCCAAGTTTGGTCTAGATCATTCATTGTTTGAGTCCACAGTGCTCTCTGGATGTAGATGAACTACAACTCCAAAACTCCACACCCACCAAACCCTTCCAGTATTTTCTGTTAGTCATGGGAGTCCTGTGTGTGGTTCGTGCTAATAAGTGAGACTGGTTTTGCTCTTCTGGGCTCCCCTTCCCAATGCCTCCGTTGTCTGCAATTTATTATACAAAACATGTTGAAGGCACAATTCCATCATTGGTGTTCAAAATGTTCTCTGATTGTAGGTGAACTATAAATCCTAGCAACTAAAATTCCCACAGCGCTCTCTGAATGTAAGTGAACTACAACTCCAAAACTCAAGGCCCACCAAACCCTTCTAGTGTTTACTGTTGGTCATGGGAGTCTTGTGTGCCAAGTTTGGTTCAATTGTTGGTGAATTTCTGAATGTTCTTTGATTGTAGGTGATCTATAAATTCCAGCAATTACAACTCCCAAATGACAAAATCATTTTTTTTAGTGATGGTCACTCCTTTGGTTAGTAGGAGTCTTGTGTCCAAATTTGGTGTCAATTCGCCCAGTGGTTTTTGAGTTATGCTAATCCCACAAACGAACATTACATTTTTATTCATATAGATTTGAAATAATGTTGATAGATTTGGATGAGATTTCAATGCCTAAGGGACAATGCTGGCCACTCTATGGGGAAACCAGAACACTTTCTCACCACCACCACCACCACCCCCCCCCCACCCCACCCAATATTCAAACATTACAAAATACCTTGGAAAAAGAGACATATCCATATAAATAAAAATGTAATGTTCATTTGTGGGATTAACAGAACTCAAAAAACAACGGGAGGAATTGACACCAAATTTGGACACAATACTCCTATCAGACCAATGACCATCACTCATAAAAACACTGAAAAACACAGCAGAAGAGACTTAAAAAGCAAAAAAATACATTACAACGCATGTGCAAAATCACATATATATACGCAAACACACATATACATACACACAAAGAACATAGATACAGACTGGGCCACAGCAACGCATGGCAAGCGACAGCTAGTTGCATATAAGATTCCCCCTACATGTTTTCTACATATTTCCATGATAGAGAATGCAATTTCCTCCATGGGAAACACTTTGTGAACAGAAAATAAATTCTGTGCAAAAACAAAATTCTGAATATTTTTTTTGCACACAATAGTACACATTTAGTTGCCTTAAACGTTAGCCCCTTTTCTGGGTATATTTGACCTGCTGATTCCAAAAATGACACCAGTTTTCCCCTCTAGTTTTTGAGATAGAGAACATATACCATATACCAGTTACCTTCTGCACACCTGTATCAAAGAAACTAGAGTTGATGCGGTCTATCTGAATCAGAGCCCCAAATAACCCCAGGAACAGACCTAGAAACCAAAACAATGCTGTGTTATGTGACTGTGGATTGAACCCTTCTTTTCCACTCAAAGGGAAGTATCACTTCAGCCACCATCACCATTTTGTTCTTTCTTCCCTTCCCCCTCTGCAGCCCGCAAGTTGAAGAAGCTGGGCAACCTGAAGATGCAAGAAGAATCCGAGGGAGCCGGGCCCTCCAGCCCCACAGAGGAGCAGGTGCCCAAGATGTCCATGACTCGCATCGAAGGCCTGGAGTGCCAGCCCATCTTCCTCAACGTCCTGGAGGCCATCGAGCCAGGGGTGGTGTGCGCCGGCCACGACAACAACCAGCCGGACTCCTTCGCTGCCCTCCTGACCAGTCTGAATGAACTCGGAGAACGACAGCTGGTCCATGTAGTGAAATGGGCAAAGGCTCTGCCAGGTAAGGAACATCTCGAGGAAGAGGCCTTCAGGCACATCTCCTCCGTCCCAAGTGGCTATGTAAGAAGCTGTTACATTCTGAAGGTATTTCTTCATTGTGAAAAGACACCTTCTCAATGAAGTTTGACAGATTTTTCATGGAGGCCTTCAGGCCCATATTGTCCACTCCAAGTAGTTCCGTTGGAAGTTTTTACATGGTGAAGAGACACCTTCACAATGAAGCTCAACAGATTTTTCATGGAGGCCTTCAAGCCCATCTTCTCCATCCAGAGTGATTACATTGAAAGTTGTTTTGTTGTGAAGGTATTTCATATTTGTGAAGAGACACCTTCACAATGAAGCTCAACAGATTTTTCATGGAGGCCTTCAAGCCCATCTTCTCCATCCAGAGTGATTACATTAAAAGTTGTTATGTTGTAAAGGTATTTCATATTTGTGAAGAGACACCTTCACAATGAAGCTCGACAGATTTTTCATGGAGGCCTTCAGGCCCATATTGTCAATTCCAGGTAGTTCCGTTGGAAGTTGTTACATTGTGAAGAGATGCCTTCATAATGATGATAGACAGATTTTTCATGGAGGCCATCAAGCCCATCTTCTCCATCCAAAGTGGTTACATTGAAAGTTGCTATGTTGTGAAGATATTTCATCTTTGTGAAGAGACACCTTCACAATGAAGCTCGACATATTTTTCATGAAGGCCTTCAGGCTCATATTGTCCACTCCAAGTAGTTCCGTTAGAAGTTGTTACATTGTGAAGAGACACCTTCACAATGGAGCTTAACAGATTTTTTCATGGAGGCCTTCAAGCCCAACTTCTCCATCCCAAATTCTTACATTGGAAGTTGTTACATTATGAAGATGTTTTGTCATTGTGATGAAACATCTTCACAATAAAGCTGGAGATATGTATTCAGGCCCATCTCCTACATTACGTTGGAAGTTGTTACATTCAGAAGGTATTTCTTCATTGTGAAGAAACATCTTCCCAATGAAGGTGGGCATATTTTTCATGGAGATCTTCAAGCCTAATCTTGTCTATCCCAAGTTGTTATATTATGAAGTTGGTTGAGAAGATTTTTCTTCATTAAGATGAAACAACTTCACAATGACATCTTCAGGCCCATTTCCTCTTGTTACAACTTGGGATGGAGAAGATAGGCCTGAAGACCTCCATGACCAATCTGTCCAGCTTCATTGTGAAGATGTTTCTGCTTGGGCTAAGCTTGGAAATTCAGCTTAGATTCCCACAATTCCCAGTAACTGTGGTTCTTCTAGCTTCAATGCCAATTCTGACAACCCCTCTCTCTAGACCCATTCACACTACACAATTGCAGCACTATGATTCCACTTTAACTCTCATAATGATATATTATGGAATCACTGGAATATGTAGTTTAGTGAGCCTCTAGAGCTCTCTGGCTGAGGACTATTTTAAGTCCTCTTCCCTGAACTTCAAATCACAGGATGCCATAGAACAAAACCTATGTATTAAGATGGAATTATATTTATTTACCTTACCTTACTTATATACCGCTGTTCTCAGCCCGAAGGCGACTCACAGCGGTTCACAACAA